GCTTGTTACTCAAAAGATGCTATTATTAAGCCCCAGAAAATGGCACATTTATCAAGATGTCACTTTTGTGAGTTCTTTGGGAGCAAATTGCTCAAAATGGTATTTGAGACTTGTCAGTCATTACAAAATTCACATTAAGTGATTTTATGGACACAACTTAAATTTCTTTGTATGTTGAATGCAGAACAATGATCCGAGACTCCCTTTTATAAAGGCTGACTTCATATTTGGTACCATCAAACAGTGGAGCTCAACCACTGGAGAGTGAGCACATGTGCCATTTTACTACAGAAGCCTTAGGAAAGAGAGTTACCTGTAAGATGGATAGCCATTGCAACACAATAGCTTATATGCAACAGGTCGTATTTTACTTGTAGGATTGGGACGTTTCATTTAGTGCACACCTCTTGCCCTTCCAAATGAAGAGCCAGTGAGGTAATTAAATTCTTTTGTTTGACCTGAGGCATATAACCAAATGGTCAAAACAGGGTTCTAGAGGCAGATAGTTTTCAGTGGAGGGTCGTGTTTCTTTCACTTTTAGCTCTATCACCACAATCACGATATCCTATGTGAACTTGGGCCTTTAATTCCTCTGAGTATGTATCTCCTCATCTGCAAAATGGAAATACCTCATTGATCTGTTAGTGCAGACAAAATTACGTAATGTATGCAAAACACTGGGCACAGTGCATTCCAACTCCAGGTATTGGCATTTATAAATTATGAGGACCCCAGCGGGCAACTTCTGAACTCTCCACTCAAATTCTTCAAGGGCCACAGAACTGGGAAGGATGCAAGGCCATTTGCATTGATATCAAGAGAGATTATAAAATTAACAGCATGGAGGCACCTGAGTTCACGTATGGCCAGAAAATTCGTATGTGTTAATGGCAAGTTAAAAAAAAAAAATCCAGTTCAGCTGGAGGGTTGATTATAACAGTGCTTGTGGACCTTAAGTTCTATGAAACTCCACAGAAATGCATCCAGGAAAAAGCATGTTACCTAATCCAGGCTACAGAACACATCCATGCTGTGGATACTGTTGCCATTGGTGAGAACCATCCTTTTCCAGTTCTCCTGAAGGGAGTTACAGATCCCTTACCTCACAGAGCGCCTCCTGTCTTCTGGGTGCTTATAACAACATCTTAGATTTATATAACTATTTTCTGTTATGCATTTCTACGTGTTTCAGTTCAGTTCGCTTAAAGTTCACAAAATTTCTATGTGAAATGCAAAGCCGTAGTGTTAATGCCATTTTTGGGTTTTCTTCATTCTGTTCTATTTTAATGCAGGAGGAGTATGAGACCCAGAGAGTTTAAGCAACTTGCCCAGAGGTCACATGTCTTTCCAGTAGCCAAACAGTAGGAACACTTAGTCCAGTGGGCCTCCCTCCACATAAGTGCTTGTCAACCTGTAGTGTGCATATGAATCACTGGGGATCTGATTACAATGCAGCTTCTGAATTCAGTAGGTCTGGGGGAAGCTAGGGTTCTGCATGTCTAACAGGACCCCAGGACTTGCTGCTCCTGGCAGTCCCCCAGAACATCCTCTGCCACACCTTTCATAACAGCCCAGGCATGTCCTCCTGCTTCCTCCAATTTGGAGTCCCATCATCTGGGTATCTACTCATTCCCCCCTCCACCACCACCACTGGACTATGAACTCCCTCAGAGCAGAAACTATGTTTTGGTCGTTATTTTGACATGACTGTTCAGGACCATGCCTGGCAAAAAGGAAATGAATGAATATTTTTGAAGAGTGAAAAAGAATGTGTTGTATTTACAATTAAAAAGCCCCAACACTTGTATATTAAGGCTGTGATTACTTATTGCAAAAAGATATTTATCAATTTCCTTCATTGTCTCCAGTTGTATTATATCTAACTGTATTTGCCAGGTCCCAAATAACATAACCAGAAGGAGCCCTGCAGGGTCTACCAGTTAGACCTACACCTCGGGCAGAACTATGCTAGAGTCCAGTGGAAAACCATCACAGTTTCTGGCTAAGGGAATGGGTCCATGTGAGGTCATTCCAAGGGCGAGGGGGAAGTGTAGTACAGGCAGGTGACTGAGATCCGCTAGCCTTCAGCTTGAGGAAGCCATGTCATCTGTGATCCCAACTAAGGATGCTGATAACACCAATTTACGGTTGCAGGTTTTCCATATGGCAAGCACTGTGCTTAGCACTTTGTAGCAGTCATCTTTCATCCTCTCTACAAACCCATGACATAGGCACTTACTTTGTAGGTAAGGAAGGGGACACATAGGATTATTGAACTGTAAGAGGTGAAGCCAAGATTTGGACCAAGTCAGTCTGGCTTCAGAGTCAGTGCTTCCAACCATGTCCTCTACTGGCTGGAACCAAACGGCGGGAGGCAGGGACCAATTTTCAGAAGATGGAGTGACTTTACTTTCTTGCCAGAAACCTGATAATAGACCCCAACAAACCCCAAGTAGAAATGGGGAGAAACACATCACATCAACAGGACGTGACCCTTATATCCAAAAGGAAGGGTGTGAATATAATGTAGAAACAAAAAAACCCAGGATTTTCTGTTACAGCAAATGTTCAAATAGTTTGACTCTATTTGGCTTATGGTTAAATATACAACTCCACTGAAAGGTTAAGTAAGAGTCAGTTAAGTAATAAGTCTCAAAGGTCCCAGATTCCTTTCACACTTCATTAGGCCTCTTATGAAATCTTGCATTAATGATTGGGCCAAATCTGAGAAAATTGTCATCACATGAAAGAAATCAGAATTTTGTGAAGCATCTGTGTCCAATGTAAAAAGTCAGAAAGTCTAAAGGACAGAGTGACCTTTGCTTTTCAGAAGCTTAAGAAGCAGAAATCCAACAGTTATATTTTAACACTGTCAGAAAATGAGGAAATCAAAGAAACAAGTGAAGAGAATGCATTGTCAAACAGTGTAAATGAGCTGTCTCTTTTTTCATCAAAGATTTTTAAATGTGGAATAAGAAAACAAACAGGGGCAACGCTAAAATACAGCCCTAGGGTCTTGAATAAAACATTACCATGAAAAAAAAGTGGAGCCTTACAGATTGCTTTTTAACCACACTTGTCTTATTATTGACCTTGGGATGGCAACATGACATGGATTGCCAAGGTCCAAGACCTGGTTCTGCTGCTTCCTGGTTTTGGCCTCAAGCCAGCATATTTCTCCCAAAATTCTCTTTTCTCTTCTGTAAAATAAGGGCAATGAACCTGCCTCCTAGGATTGTTGTGAGCTTTATGTTGAATGACACACTGGGAGAGTTTAGACCCAAATAGAAAATCAACGTACATTGCACCTGTTTTCTCTCCTCCCTTATGAGTTCTATTTTCTTAAAACAATCTCCTTTAAATATTTTTATTCCTAAGTTTTTGTTTATAGAAACATAAAATTGTCCAGGGTTAATACCATATCTACACCTCCACGCAGATGGAATATGTGTATAAGAAAATGAGTATAAAGTGTTGGGATATCATATGGAAAGCTTATCATATGTTAAGCTTGGTGTGCTAAAAATAGAACCATATAAAATTCCACATAGGCATGCATCCTGAAAAAGATCACTTGTAATTACACCTACAAATTTTGGTCAATCTTTAACATGATTATACATGTTAAAAAATCAAGAAGTTTTAACTTGTATGGAACCGCAAAAGACCCCGAATAGCCAAAGTAATTTTGAAGAAGAAGACCA